GTCATTGGGTTTGAGCCAATACAACTGTGAACCTCATTCATCAGATCACTCATAGTCATGTTCGGTTTAAGTGTTATAAGTTCCATATTCCCTCCATTGTACTCCACTGTACAATTTCATGAACAATTTCATGAACAAAGTACTACATTGCCATACAAAATTATCAAAATTTTTCCACATTTTCATAAATAATTAGCAAGAATTTTATACAATCTCAACAACTAATAGCAATTGTCAACATTACAATAGTTTGAACTTAGGGTTTACGAGGATTTTGAGTGGGTGAGTGAGGGAAATAGGGACAGCAGCAACACCGTCTCGCGGCAGCAGCACCGGCGTCCGGTAGCAGCAACTGTGACGGCAGCGGCGCTTCGAGGCCGGTGGTTCACCGTGGTGGGGTAGCGATGCTTCAACGAAGAAGTGACAGTGAGAGTGAGAATGACAGTGAAAACAGCCTGCGAACAAACATAAAAAACGAAAGAGACGCTGACTGAGACAACATTTCATTTAAGGGAAAAAAAACAACCAAAAACGCTGTCTCGGTCAGCGTTTATGTCTGTGTTTTTTTTTAAACTTTTATAAAAACTCAATTTCAAAACATCCAACTTTTATGTTGAACATAAGACGCTGCCTGAGACAGCGTTTTAGGTACAACAAACTTTGTACATAAAACATTGTCCCAGACAGCGTTTTATGTCTTTTATATTTTTAAAATATTTACAATTTCTGAAATAACAAAGAAACTTAAAAAAAAAAGTCAACACTTAAAAACGCTGTCTAGGACAACGTTTTTAAGTTGAATTTTTTTTTGTTTTTTAATAAAAACCAGGCATAAAACGCTGATCGAGACAATGTTTTAGCCTGGAAGCTTAGTTTGGTAAATACTTTTGCCACGCAACCATTTTGGTGAATATTTCCCAAAATTGACTTACTTTGGGAAAACGTCCCCAACTGTCCAAATATCGGTTTCCAACCCGGGTGGTTTAATTCATATTTTACACTATGTTATTTGGAATAGGATATCTATGTGCGTGGGTTATGTCTAACACGGATGCGTGTTCAAGTGTTCGACGCTGACTAATTTCATACATGTATGTTTTTTAATTTTATTTTTTTGGGGAAACTATACATTTTTTTTTTTTTTTTTTTTTTTTTTTTGAAACCAATATGTATGTTATTCTATAGAATAAGTAGGTGAATTTATAATTTAGGAGGACACCTTTTAACTCTCTTCTTGATAAATTTTTATTTTTCAAAAATTAAAAAAAAAAAAAAATATCTTATTCAATTCTTACCTTATGTAAAATTTTCTCTTTAACATATTCTCCCACCAAGACGTTCTAATTGTTCAATGAATTCATAAGACTAACTTCACTTCTCAAGTAAGATTTAGCTTCCCTGACGTTGATTACTATGTATCTGTTACTTTTTTCTTAAATAGCCTAGATTATCTTTATGTTTACTATTCCTTCCTTCTCTCTCAATGAAACAAAGTTGGACATGAGCTAAATCTACACTCAGACCCACCCTTTATCGTTTTCAAAAGTCTATTATTTTCCAAATGAAACATTAGATTTTTTTTTTAAAAAAAACTTGTAAATATTCCTCGTCATTAAATATTTATTAGGAATCTGTTTATTTTAATAAGTACCCATGAGCACGTTAGAAAAACCATTTTCCAAAATAATCTCCTACCAACCGTTAACAAATGTTGATACGGATATAGGGTCGAGATCTAAAAGGAGAAAATTACTCTAATTTTTTGCGCATATATAATCACATAATTTAGGTTGTTTGAGTTTTTTTTCTTTAAAGGTGATTTCTTACCACACTTTTATTATAAAGATGCTTTCCCATAAATTTTGATTTTTATGAGGTGTTTTCTAACAAAATTTTCTAATTTTAGACGTTAAATGAAATCACGTGCCTCGCATATGCCCAAAAACTGTTAGAGAATTTGGTTAACATCACACACTCCAATAGTAGGTGATAATTTGCATCAACTTTTTTTAAAGGAGTTGCACCCGCCACCAAGAAAGAGTATCATTTTACAAATTTAAGGAGGTTTCATACCATACAACAACAGTAGTAGTACAATGTTATAATAAAGTATTTAACTCTCTTACATGTAGGGTGGTTAATGGACAGGGCTGCCCATTGATGATAGGGACGGGCCAAAATTTAAAAGGTCTTAACCCTTTAATATTTTAGTGAACAGGGTCATTAAAAAGCTTTAAAATATAGGGTCAATAATGGGCTTTTATTAACAACCCATTAATATCAAAGAAAAATTAAAGGGCAAAAAAGAAACGGAAATTTCACCATATACCACTGAGTTTAAGCATAATTCACCGTATACCACCAAAAACTTTCTAATACACCATATACCACTCAGTTATTGTATATTAACACAAAATGCCCTTTTTGCTAACTGTCGTTAGTCTGCCGTTTGGGGGACTTTACCATTATGCCCTTATACATCTAACTGGCGCCATTTATAGGGTTGACTCCATTGACCCCCCATTTCCCCTTTCCATTGAAGCTTCTCTCTGTTCTTCTCCATTAAAATCGAACCCCAAAATCAATAAAAAAGCTTCAAACTTTCATCGATCCCCCTTGCGGCAACAATTGCGATCCCAGCCACTTCCCAGATGGCCGGCGACTGCCCTCCCCTGGCCCCTTCCCCCCGCCGGCGACATTCTCGACCCCTTCCCCCTACGCCGGCGACCATCCCACTCCTACTCCCCTTCCCCGAAAATCATCCCCCACCTGTAACCCAATTCCCGATTTCCTCGCCGGACTCTCCTTCCCCGATTCCCGATCTCTCTAACCCTAAAAAAATCCTCAATTTCCCTCTTGCAAATCCCAATTGGAATATCGACGACAAAGAAACCACCCATCAAATCTTGACGAAGAGAGAGAAGGTCGAATTAGAAGCGAATTTGTTCGAAAAAAATGCTGATAAGTCGAATTGATGTTGTTGTATGGTTGCAGATTTTGAGTGTTGTCGGTTCAGGGGGAGAGGGAGGCCGACGCGCTGGCGAGAGAAAGGCTGGGCGTCGGCGTGGGTGGGGGCGGGATAGGGTGGTGGCTGGGGGTTCTAGTCATATTTCGTGCAAGCAGGGGATGTTAGGATAGGGTGGTGGTTGGCTGGGAAACGTTGGTGGTTTGGGAGGAGGACGGGAAGGGGAGATGGCAGGGGTAGGGGGAGCTCTGGAAGGCCGGCGAGGGAGGAGGCTAGGCAAGACCGCCGACGAGGGAGGAGGCTGGGCAAGGCCGCCGGCAGGGAGGGGGAGCTGGGCTGGTGGGGGAAGGGGGTGTCGGGGTTAGTGGAGTGAGGAGGTGGTGGCTGTTTTTTTTTTAATTCTTTATTTAACTAATTAATTAGATAATATTAATAAGAGCCAATATGTGACAGCCACGTGGCATAATAAACCTTAATTACTAACGGCGTTAACGGCAGACTAACGACGGTTAACAAAAAGGGCATTCTGTGTTAATATACATTAACTCAGTGGTATATGGTGAATTAGAAAATTTTGTGTGGTATATGGTGAATTACGCATTAACTCGGTGGTATCTGGTGAAAAATCCGAAAAAGAAAAAACCCAAATTTAAAAAAAAAAAAACCAAAACCTCCAATTTAATATACCTTTCTCTCTCCTCCATTGAAGCGCACTCAGAGTTCTCCATTGAAGCCGCTTCTAAGCTTTCTCTCTTCACGATAGCATGAACCTGAATCGCCGGCCACTCTCACGATTTCTTCTCCACCGTCGCTCCACAATCGCCGGTCACCGCCTTCTCCGCCGTACTTCCGACTGCCGTCTCCCACTCTGCTGCAGCGAACAGCGCTTAGTGTTTTGTGCCAGTCTTCTTCGTTCTATTCGAGGTATTTGAAATTTTGATTTTATTTTGTTATTGATTTTTGATAGTTTATATATGAAAGGTGCTTTTTGGAATTGATTTGAGTTCCGTTTTAAGGGATTGGATTGTGAGTTTCTTCAGTTCTGAGTTCAATTTGAGTAATTGAATTTTACTAGCTCTCTTATACAATTACATTTGCAATTATACTATTTCTCTTATGGACTTACATTGACGAAATGAATGAAAAATTAAAGTTTTTGTACAAAAAAGCCAATGCATGTTACCAAAAATAAATTATACAGGTATAAATACTCATATGTAAAACCGTGCAATATTAATAACACCAAAAAATATCTATATAAAGTTATTGACTCGACTATCTCAAGGTGAAATTAAATCTGCATAACCCTTACAAATTTACTTTTAGGCCCGTTTCACTTTTACGTCAACCCCTAATCCGACCCTGACTCACTAAATATTCATTATGACCTGCAACCGCACCGACCCGCCCAATAACCACCCCTACTTACATGTAAGCTCCCTTAAATCCCTTCTTTAATCAGTCATGTGATGTTTCTTGGGTTTGAAAATTTAGAATGCAATTCACAATCACTTTCTTGCAACTTTTAAAATCTCAAACAAACCATACAAAAAAAATACCATACTTCGTATTTCTTAACTAATCTCTAACAAATCATACAAAAAAATTCAGTAAATCTTAACTAACTTTTACAGTATAAATTTCATACACACACTTTGCCACTTACAAAAAAAAAGAAAGGAGTACATAATTATTGTGGAACGAAGGCCGGATATAATAACATTTATCAATGTGTTCCGATAGTTGTACATCCTCCCTACAACACAACAATATATTTTTTTTCCCCATTTTGATTCAGTGGGTTACCCGTGAACTAAATTTAAATAATTATACACATTGCGGTACCTCCGACTAAATTTCCAAATGTTTCATGTGAAAGTCCACCGTTGTCAGCCCCTTATACTTTAATTACCAACCAATTTACCCTTTTAATGCAATTCATTTCATAGCTAGCTAAATTAAATCACTTCACTATCCAAAAAATAAGAAAAAAGCAAAGTATATTATCGTATTAAACAAAGTTACGTCATACGAGATGGATGCATTGTGGAAATTAGAGGATAATTTGAAGATATCAACTCAAAAAGCCGTAATACTACTTATTTGTACGTCAATTTTAGTCATACTTGTTTGCTTAACCATAATTTTTGTAATCCTTAAGAAAAAGGCTGCTCAAAGGAACAAGGTCGTGTGCTATGATGACTCCGATGAAGAGACCGAGTCTATGATAGTGTACGCAAGATCTCGTTCCAAGTGTGGATTGATGGAAGTAAGGAAGGCATTGTTGGGGTCGGCGTGTTGGAGCTTGGCACACAAGTGGAACAACGAGAGTGTTGTGCTAGGGAAACAAAGGATGAAGGTTGTGTCGAGTTGTTTGAAGTGTGTAGGTTGTGTAGGCCGGTCGAAGATGCCGGTTTGGCAAAGGCCGATTTTAATGGGTGAGAGGTGTGAACTTCCTAGATTTAGTGGTTTGATTTTGTATGATGAAAGAGGTAGGCCAATTACTCACCACCATGATCATCATCACCCTCAATATTACCAGCAGGTGAGCAATACACAATATAATTACCCCTTCGTTTCATTTTGATTTTCTCATTTGAATGTTCAATTTTAAATGGAATCTATAATCTCCAAAAATAATATATGAAAAAACTCACTCATGCATGTGGAATCTTATTTGATTTGTCTAATCAATATGTAGTTTTGATTATTAGGTTTTTTTAAAAATAGATTTTTTATATTTTGTAGTTCAAGATTTGTAAAGTGATTTAATCATTCAATTTAGCTATGAAATTAGGTGAAGAGAGTGTTGTGCTAACGAAATAAAGGAAACAAAAATAAGGTAATGATTTATCCCATACTTGTTAATGCTAGTGCTTACAATCATACAAGTAATTTCATAGTTTTGCCTTCATAATGTGGTAGCAATAAATCATTTGTGCCATTGTAGGAATTACCAACTTTTTTTTTGTATCTATCTACTCGTATCAATGTGTGGAGTAGATAACCATTAAGATCTTGGTTTAGTGGTCAAGACTCAGGACTTGTGTGCTTTAAGACACGTGTTCAAATCCCTCTTCTCAATTTGTAGTTTAATTTTTAGTTTAGTTTTGGGAGCTAGGCAAAGTTATGTGAGTGTTACCATGATTCACAGGAAGAAGCAAAGTTTGCTGGAATGACGGCGGGTATGCTTATGGACTTACTATGATTGTTCAAGATCTCACGAGAGTGATATTCATGCATGCTTCAATTCTTTTTGTATTCGATGTGATTTTCACCATCTGCAATATCAAAAAAGGAGATATATATACATATTACATTACCTCAGTTTGCTCTCAGCCTGTCTTTTCTTATTGTAATCTCAACAAGCATTGTATTTGTATAAAAGATCAGCTTCTCTTTATATGAAAGAAAAAGCAAGATAAAATGATTAAATTTCGAGTCTACAAACTCGTGAATGTCTAGTGCATTGCTCCGGATTGTTACTTGTAAACTTTTTATCAACAAATCAACAATTCATATACATAATAAGAACCTTGTGCATCATGAGATCGAGGCCGAGAACCAAGCACATCGAGATAGATGTGCATTTGCTCGAGATAATATGGTGTTAGAGGGGTTATTAGAGTTACATTATGGCCCAACAAAACATTGGCATGCAAAATGTGTTTATTAAGGCTCTTTTAAGCTCTCAACTCCAGTAGTTATGGTGCAAGCAAAGAATATGTCAAATAAATCTCCAAGTCTCAACTTCTTATTCATCCCTTCATCCGAATTTATACAAAAGCTTAGCAACCTAGTTCACGTAGGAAACTAGCTTGGGGAATACTTTTCCTATCCCAATACAAAATAATATCAAAGATACATGATAATATATTTCCTAAATATATCTACTAAATATTCTACCATATGTTAACATCCCCCCTCAAGGTGGAGCATGAAAATCTCGAATGCCCATCTTGCCAAGTAGTAACTCAAACTAAGCCTTTCCCAAAGCCTTGGTAAAAATTTCCGCGAGCTGCTCCTTGGTAGGAACATACGATGGCGAAATCAAACCATCTTTAGTTGCATCTCTCACTAAATGCATATCAACCTCAATATGTTTCGTTCTCTCATGAAATATCGGATTGTGAGCAATGTACAAAGCTGACTGACTATCGCAAAATAAATTCATACCCTGTGAATGTTGCACACCCAAATCTTTTAACAATTGTTTCAACCACTTTAGTTCACATGTTACGCCCGCCATTGACCTATATTCCGCTTCCGCAGATGATGTAGAAACCGTATGTTGCTTCTTAGTTTTCCAAGACACCGGGAAAATCCAAGTAGCACAAACCAACCTGTCAATGACCGCCTAGTAAGAGGAAAACTTGCCCAATCAGAGTCACACCATCCCTCTAATTGCAGAGCACTATTAGATTGACGGAGTATTCTCTGCCCCGAATTTTTCTTTAAATAGCGCACCACACGAAGTGCATCTTCCCAATGTGCCTCCTTCGGAGACTGCATAAACTGAGATAATATGTGAATAGAATATGCCAAATCTGGCCTGGTCACAGACAAATAGATTAGGTGCCCAACTAAACGCCTATACTTCTCCACGTCCACTAGTACTCTGCCTTCCGCTAGAGCTAATTTATGATTCTGTTCCATCGGAAAATCTACCGGCTTAGCTCCTAAAAGTCCTGCCTCAGAAATGATGTCAAGAGAATATTTTCGTAGACAAATAAAAATCCCTGTTTACTCTGTGCCACCTTTTGGCCTAGGAAATACTTTAGTATTCCCAAGTCCTTCATCTTGAAACAGTTACCTAAATATGCTTTAAACTTCGATAAAGCAATTTTATCATTCCCTACAACGATTAAATCATCAACATATATCAACACATTCAACTGCATTTTTCCTTTGGTCAGTGTGAACAAAGAAAAGTCAAAGTGAGATTGTTTGAATCCATATTTCTTCAAAGCCTCGGTCAATTTAGCAAACCAACACCTAGGAGCCTGCTTCAAGCCGTACAATGACTTTTTCATCCTGCACACATAATCAGAGTTATTTTTGTTGAAACCTGGAGGAATTTTCATGTTTCCTCCTCCAAGTCTCCATGTAACAATGCATTATGCACATACATCTGATGCACCTCCCAATTCTTCACTGCCGCTACAACTAGGAAAGTCCTAACAGTAGTCATCTATGCTACAGGGGTAAATGTCTCGTTGTAATCCAGTCCTTCAACTTGATGGTTCCCTAAGATCACCAATCGAGCCTTCAATCGCAACAAATTTCCATGTTCATCACGCTTTTCTGTATATACCCACTTGCTTCCGAGAGCCTTCTTTCCAGGTGGAAGTTTCTCAAGCACCCAAGTACCCTGTTCTTCTAGAGCTTTAATTTCTGCAGCCATTGCATCACTCCATCCCGAGTACTTCATCGCCTCTTTGAAAGTTCTAGGCTTGTGTCCTGCAGTTATTGCTGCAATATACTTTTTGTGTTTTCAAAAAACGGGAACAATCAACAAAATATGTGAGAGGATAAGGAGTACATGAGAAAGATGATGTTGCGGGTGTACTCGTCGACGGATTGTATTTCCGTATTGTATGTGTCACAAAATCCCGATACTTCGTTGAAGGAATTTTAGTCTGTTTTCCTTTCCTCATTTCCTCAACGACCTCCAAGGTTTCTCGCACAACCCCACTGTTTTGCTCACGCTGCTCCGTACCCCTCACCTCTGACTGCTGCTCCTCTCTACTCTCAATTGTCAGCCGCTCACTGCCAACCGCAACACCCACTGGATTTACGGGCTGGGCAGGTAGCTGCTGCTCGTGTTGGTTCCCACACCTAGCGCCCGATGCATTTCCAGCAGGCTAGGCAGTAGCTCTCGGTGGCTGTTGTTCCTCACAACCAGCACCCATTGGTGCAGCCCCCCACTCTTCATCATCACTCCATCCGCCAACATCCTTACACACCCTTGAAGACACTCTCAACCCCTCGGCATTAGGTGCATTAAACGGGAAAATTGCTTCAAAAAATCTCACATCCCTTGAAACAAAAATTTCTTTATTTTCCAAATCAAGCACTCTCTATCCCTTTTTTCCCAAACAGATATCCTAAAAACACACACCTCCGACTCCGACTTGCAAACTTATCACCTTTGTTCTTTTGATTATGTGCGTAACACAAGCAACCAAACAAGCAAATATGATCATATGATGGAGGTTTATTAAATGATATTTCAAATAGGGTTTTATTCTCAAGCAAAGGAGTTGGGGTTCTATTAATCAAGTGACATGCCGCTAACACACACTCCCCCCAAAATTTCAATGGTAAATGCCCTTGAATGCGTAAAACCCTCGCAACATTCAAAATATGTTGATATTTTCTCTCAACTCTCCCATTTTGATGTGGGGTTCCCACACAAGATGTCTCCAAAATCATGCCATTGTTAATAAAATAATCATGCAAGGAATTGAATTCCGTCCCTTTATCACTCCTCACAATTTTAGTTACTTGATCAAATTGATGTTTAACCAAAACAATAAAATTTAAGAACATCATTTCAACACCTGTTTTATTTTTCAATAAATAAATCCAAACACCTCTAGAAAAATCATCAACTATTGTCAAAAAATAATGAGGTCCACCCATAATAGGTGTTTTATAAGCTAAGAGCCCCACAAATCTATATGAACAAGTTCGAATATACGACTTGCTTTATTCTCACTAATTGGAAAACTAAACCTAGATTGTTTTACAGGAGGACAAACATCAATATGATTTATTATTATTTCTCCTAGAAAAACCACTCACAATTGGAATTAACTTCAACATCGTCTCTGAAGGGTGACCCATCTATTTGTGCCAAAGATCAGATGAAGACTCTCCATCGTCCACTACTAGAACCTTCACTTGAGGAACACCACGGAAAAGATACAGTCCATCTTCACGTTCACCCACTCCAATCACCCTTCTCGTCTTCCGGTCCTGTATGACACATAATTTGTTAGTAAATTGCAATGTGCAATTAGATTCGTCACACAATTGAGTTGCCGAAATCAAGTTGTAAGTTAATTTAGGGACAAAAGAACATTATCAAGTTGTAATCCTCCTGGCAATATCACTGTCCCTAATTAATCCGCATTGGCAAACTGTCCATCCGACAAGCCAACTGGGCAATTTTGAACTCTCGTCACATTTTTGAGTTGTGTAAAATCACACGCAACATGATTGGAAGCCCCCGTATCAACAATCCAAGGTATAATATTTGTCTTACCGTGCAATTGCTAATTCTTTGGATTTAATATATCCAAAATTTGCTGAATTTGGGTAGCGTTGACTCCCGCTAAACTAGCCACATCATCAGTCGCAATTGCCTTTGATTGCTGCCCATTTGAAGAACTCCCAGCCACCTTGTTTGCACGGACGAATTTTGCTGGGAGGGCGATGATGACGGCGTGGAGCTGCTGCCACTGTTCCGTGCTCCACAACCCCCACTGCCACGTCCCCCTCCTCTTCCACGACCACGTCCACCGCGGCCACGCTCACCCCACCACTCGGGGTACCCAATGAGCTGAAAATAGCCCGCTTCATCATGTCCTTCTCTGTTACAGTGATTACAGAATTTATCACTATTGTCCACATATCTTGGCTTCGATTTTGAGTCCACCTTGAAAGTCATCACATTATCTACCTTCGAACTCCCGTCACGCAACCTCTCTACCATGACAACATTCTGATAATCCACATCAAGAAATAATGGAGATAATCTTCCTCCCTTATGCTGTCCACTTGTGCAACAATGCTACACTCACACTTGCCACACTTGCATTTAGGAACCCGCACATAATTTAAGAGTTCTTTCCAAATTTTCGATAGCCGACCAAAATAGTTTGATATAGTCTCCATAGATTCTTGTTTGCATTCACCTTGTGATGTCTTCAATTGACACACTCGAGTCCCGCTAACCACACTGAACTTATTTTTAAGAGTCGTCCAAAGCACACTTGCATCATCATAGTCACCAATCGTGGATCTAATTTTCGGATTTAGCGTATTGGTAATCCACGACATCAACATAGATTGAACCGTAATCCAATCCTCTAGCTTCGCAACATCTTTCGGCATTGCAATTGTACCATCTACAAAGCCAAATTTCCTCTTGGCCATCAAAGAACATCTAATTTCTTGAGCCCACCGTCATAATTTTCACCC